GTTGCAGCCATATCTACACTGTAGAAATAAATGCAGTTTGATACCACTTTAACTGCCACGGCTCTGTCCTACAGAATCCTGAGGTTTGTAGTTGTGTAAGGCACTAGCTCTCTTTGGCAGAGAAGGGAAGGCTAAAGCACTTGTAAAACTACAAATCCCAGGATTCCATAGGATGGAGCTACAGTGCTCAAAGAGGTGTCAAACTGCATTATTTATACAGTGTGGATGCACCTTCTGTTACAGCTCTCTGGTGCCACAGAAAACTGCAAATCCCAGGATTCCACAGAATGGAGCTGCTACACTTAATGTGGTGTCAAACTGCATTATTTCTACAGTGTAGATGCATTCATAAATATTTCATCCCACAGATCTCACACACCCCAACCTTACCAGAAAAATAACTCTGGCTTTCTCAAACTGCTAGACCTCATTGTGCCCATTTGATTTTCTGTTTTATAACGTTCCTGATATAAGGACGTCTGCAGGCCTGGAGGTACAGAGAATAAGAAATAAGAATTTCGTCCTCCCCACCATCTAATGGTCTTTCAGACCCCATATTTCTAGGATTTGGGATCACTTAAAATTTCAGTTGAGTGTTTAGAAATAGAGTTTAGGGCCAATGATTCCCAAACTTTGGTCTTCCAGGAGTTTCAGACTCCAGCTCCCAGAAGCCCCAGCCAGCTTGGTCCACAATCAGGAATTCTGGAAGCTGAAGTCCAAAACATCTGGAAGACCAAAGACCACTGGTAGGGCAATGGTTCCCAACCTTTGATCCCCCAGCTCTTTTGGACTTCAACTCCCAGAAGCCCCAGCCAGCTTGGCATACAGCCAGGAGCTGAAGTTGAAAACATCTGGAGGACCACAGTCTGGGAATCCCTGGATGGTCCCTAACCTTTAGACCTCTAGCTTTGTGGACTTCAACTCCCAGAAGCCCCAGCCAGCTTGGTCAGCAGCCAAGGATTCTGGGAGCTGAAGTCCAAAACATCTGGAAGAAGACCAAAGTTTGGGAACCACTGGTTTAGGCATTCAAAGCCATGGGGCTGGCAAGCCGTTGCCAGGGAATACAAATGGCAAATGCAAGAGTCTTAGGTGCGAATCATTTTTAATGCCTCACCCTCTGCAGTGCTAGCAACTTATGCAATAAAGGAACCTTTCATGGGATCCCCAGAATTCTTACACTTTTCCTCTCCTTCCCCGCAGAGCGAAGAGGCTTGAAAAAGACTATCACACTTCTGTGCTCCATTTCTGGTTCCTGCCTCTTCTTGGGACTGGTTTCGTGCGCCTTGGAGTAAGTGATGCTTTGTGAATTGCAGGGTCAGGGAGAGATTCGGGGCTGCGGGGGACGGAGCTCAGGCCCAGCTGGGAGGAGAAAAAATACTTTAAAATATTGCAACTCCCAGAATCCCCCAGGGGCCATGCTAGCTGAGAACTGTAGTCTTCCAAGGTGGTTTTTACTATGCAAAGGGATCTGACTTTTAAAATACCTCATTTTCCTGCGTATAAGACTACTTTTTAACCTGCAAAATCTGTGGTGAAAGTGGGGGGTCGTCTTATACGCCGGGTATAAGGATAAGGAGGATAGAGGTGCTAAAACTCTATATTTTGACTGGAAAAATGGGGGGTCGTCGTATACGCCGGGTCGTCTTATATGCCGGAAAATATGGGTATGTTTGCTGTGATGTTCTGTAATAAAGCCACATCTGGGTGCTGTTTCTTGTACAATAAATATACTAGTTACATTCATGGAGGAGAAAGAGGAGGACAATAATGCCAAAAGCTTGGAAAAGTTAGTCTTTTGGAATTACAACCCCCAGAATCCCCCAACCAGCCATGCCGGGATTTGTAGTTTGTTGTGGCACCAGAACTCTCTGACAGAGAAGGCTAAATATTTCACCAAGTTACAAATCCTAGAATTCCATACCATTGGGCCATGGCAGTTAAAGTGACGCCAAACTGCATTAATTCTGTAGTGGAGATACAGCCTTAGACAGGACCCCAGAATGCACAGGCAACCAATGGCGCTTGTACAGAATTGGCCTCATTATATGCTCTGATCACCTTTCCTTTGCAAACAGCGGGCCTCTGGACTGTCTCCAAGGGCCGTCCCAGGAAGAAATAATTACAGTAGTGTAGCCCTCAATCCATCCAGGATAGGAATCAAAGAACTATAGAGTTGGAAGAGACCCCAAGGGCCATCCAGTCCAACCCCCCTTCTGCCATACAGGAACTCTCAATCGAAGCACCCCAACAGATGGCCATTCAGCCTCTGTTTAAAGACCTCCAAAGAAGGAGACTCCACCACACTCCGAGGGAATGTCTTCCCTTGTCGAACAGCTCTTACTGTCAGGAAGTTCTTCCTATTAATGTTGAAGTGGAATCTCTTTTCCTGTGGCTTGCATCCATTGAGGTTCCATTGTGTCCTATTCTCTGGAGCAGCAGAAAACAAGCTTGCTCCCTCCTCAATAGGACACCCCTTCAAATATTTAAAGAGGGCTATCATATCCTCTCATAACCATCTCTTCTCCAAGCTAAACATACTCAGTTCCCTAAGTCGTTCCTTGTAGGGCATGGTTTCCACAACCTTCACCATTTTAGTTGCCCTCCTTTGGACACACTCCAGTTTCTCAACCTCCTTTTCGAATTGTGGTGCCCAGAACTGGACACAGTATTATTCCAGGTGAGGCCTGACCAAAGCAGAATACAGTGGCACTATTACTTCCCTTGCTCTAGACACTATACTTCTATTGATGCAGCCTAGAATCTCATTGGAATGAGTGTAGCAAGGTCTACTTTCTCTAGACAGGGACCGATGGAAGGCATCCCACTGACTGAAACCAGCTGAGCCTTCATTATTTCCAGGACAACCCTTGAGCTGTACACTTGGTCCCAATCCCACACCGGTCTCACCCTTCCATCCAGATCATCTGGTTTCCTCACCCACAGCGCCTCTGTCTTATCTGGGTTAAGCCTCAGGTGGTTTGCCTTTTTCCATCTCAAACCTGCTTCAAGTTAATTCTTTTCTCAGGGTTTCCATGTTTGTGTGTTGTGCCTTCAAGTCGTTTCCGACTTATGGTGACCTTAAGGCCAACCTGTCATCGGATTTTCTTGGCAAGATTTGTTCAGAGGAGGTTTGCCATTGCCTTCCCCTGGGGCTGAGAGTGTGTGGCTTGCCCAAGGTCACCCTGTGGGTTTCATGGCCGAGCAGGATTCGAACCCTAGTCTCCAAAGTCATAGTCCGACACTCAAACCACTATGCCATACTGGCTCCAGAGTGTTCCATAAAGCTGGTGAAAGTTTAAAACTACAAATCCCAGAACCCCCAAGCCAGCTGTGTCCTGTGGTCCCATGTTGGATTTTAGAAGATAATCAGGGTTGGGCCTGGTTACTACTTGGATGGGAGATGACCAGGAGGAGGGAACAACAAGGATCTCCAAATAGAGACAGAAGGGATTCTATCTGAAACAGAAACACCATTCCCAAATCAAGGGACACCATAGGCTGCATCTATATTGCAGAATAAAGGCAGTTTGACACCACTTTAACTTCCCTGGCTCAATGCTGTGGAATCCTGGCAAAGAGAAGACAGAGAGGTGGCATGGTTGCCCTCTTTTAATGCCCCAAGGGCTGCCCCAAAAAGAAAGGGGCAGATTTATTTTCTGCTGCCCCAGAGGAGAGAACCAGGTCAAATGGTTTGAAGTTACAGGAGGGTAGGTTTTGTCTGAACGTGCGTCTTGATGTTAGGAAGAGCTTGGCAATGGACCCAATTGCCTAGAGGAGTGAGTCCCAAACTTTGGTCCTCCAACTTCCAGAAGCCCCAGCCAGCTTGGCCAACAGTCAGGAATTCTGGGAGCTGAAGTCCAAAACATCTGGAGGATCAAGGTCTGGAAACCACTTTATAGACTACAGCATGCATAGATCATGAAAGGCAATGGGACACCCTTAAAGACATGGGAGTGCCAGCACATCTGATAGTCCTAATGAGGAATCTGAACTCAGGACAAGAGGCTACTCTCAGGGCAGAAGACGGAGAAACAGAATGGTTCCCAATTGGCAAAGGAGTCAGACAAGGTTGTATCCTTTCACCCGATCTGTTCAACTTATATGCAGAACATATTGTAAGGAAAGCAGGCTTGGACACAGAAGAAGGAGGAGTGAAAATAGGAGGAAGGAATATCAACCATCTGAGATATGCAGATGACACTGTAATACTAGCAGAAAACATCATAGGCTTAAGATCCAAGAAGAAAGTGCAAAGGCAGGCTTACTGTTGAACATAAAGAAAACAAAAAGAATGACTGCCAAGGAGGACCTTCACAAGTTCAACCTAGACAATGAAGACACAGAAATAGTAAAAGGATTCCCATACCTGGGATCCAACATTGATAGAAATGGGGACAGCAGCCAGGAAATCAGAAGAAGATTAAGAATGGGGAGATGGCTATGAAAGAACTAGAAAAGATCCTAAAATACAAAGATATACAACTCAGCACAAAAGTCAGAATCATACAAGCCATCATCGTATTCCCTCTTCCCATGGATGGATGGGAGAGCTGGACAGTCAAGAAAGAAGAGAGGAGGAAAATCAACTCCTATGAGAGAATGTGTTTCTGGAGAAGAGTGCTGAGGATCCCATGGAGAGCCAAAAGGACAAAGAAATGGGTCCTAGAGCAGATCAAGCCGGAAAGTTGGAAACCTCCCTGGAAGCCAAGATGACCAAACTGAGGCGGTCGTACTTTGGACACATCAAGAGGAGGAAGGACTCATTGGAAAAGACAGTAATGCTGGGGAAGATGGAGGAAAGCAGAAAGAGAGAAAGGCTGCATGCTAGATGGATGGTCTCCACAAATATGAGTTTGTAGGGCCTAAGCAGGGCAGCGGAGGACAGGGAATTTTGGAGATGTCTCATCCATAGAGTTGCCAAGGGTTGGACTCTACTGGAGGGCAGTTAACAATTTGCAGACTGCCAGAAATAGTGCATATTAAATTGAGGCACTGCCCTG